ATCGATAACACTAGGTTAAGGTAAATCCCCTTTAAGCAATAGTGGGAGTATCCCTTAAAAGTAATGACAATAAACGTTAACAATTTACGCTAGTTGTCGACTAGCGATTATTTGTTACTGTAATTGGGATTTAAACTTATTAATCTACGAAATTACGGAAAAAGCATTGTGAGTGACTAAAAATATGCACTGAATCTCATATTTACCTATATGCAGTAGTCATAAAGATCAGATACCATTTTCTCATAGGCTATTTATAACCTCTTGTGCCAGTGACACAGACATTCACTTAACCAATTTTTTAGGTTTAGGAAGAAAGAAAACTCAATTCACTCTAGAAAAATTAACTAGTTTAGATATGAAGCATAAAAAATTAGGAAAAGCCCCATTTTCTAACTCTATATCAACTCTTAGGGGAGAAAATTGCCTATAAGAATAGATTCATATCAACCAACGCGTAAAGGCTTTTCAATGGATGACTGGCCTTCCATCCAGCGATTGGAGCGATTATATAAAGCAACCTTCAGGCTTTGCCACAAATTTAGGTCATAATTATGACACTATGAAGACTAATAGCTTTCCTCATTTCTGCAAATCCAATATAGTATGGAGGAATGTTTCAGAGAACTTTTATTTTTAAAGATGAATTTCCATCTTGACCTCAGCTCTATTAAAAGGGGCTCATTCTTCTGTGCTTCTCTTTTTACCTTGGTAATTACCTTAATCCAAGCAGATAAGAAAAAAGCTCATAAAATATTGCTGCCACTATAGTGGTTTTTGAACGATGTACTGTGCTGAACTTGCTTCAAATGTAAAATCCTAGTCACACAGACAGGGAGATTTCTTGCTAAAATGGTGACTTACTGAGGATGGATTATCGGGACTGATCCAGCTCAGAAAAGTCCCGAGCTGCAAGCTAAGGATTGCTAGACCCACTTTCCAAAAAAATATTTCTACAAACTAAAGCAAAAAATGGGTACAGCAGCTCTCAGAGCCAAGCCTATAATTCATGTTGGTATGGAATTAAAGATTTTGACTGAAAAAATGAGGCATATCAAGACAACACGAGCAAAGGCCTGAACTCAAATACAAGGTCGCGTAGTCCTAAATAAGAGTGAAAGCTTATCTAGTGGTAACCCAGCCATCACATTAAGGTTAACATTATAAAGAGGCTTGTATAGCGATCACGATTAGAATGTACAGAGGATCTAACTTACTGGGCGTTTAAAACCAAGCAGGGCTCCGACAAAGGAAAGAGGCAGACTGACGCCAAACCACATAGCAAGTAGAGCAACAATGGTACCAAAAGGCACCGCCGCAGAGCTGCCCAGGGCCCAGAGTACAATATTAAGGATGAAGAAAACGGCGAACACAAAGCCTGGACAGAGTGTGGCTGTGAGGAAGACGTTGAGCTTCCAGCGTAGGCCACCAAAAAAGCGATAAAGACGAGCAGAAACAAACCCTGAATAGTAATGATAAAGGGGTTAAATAAGAAAAAGGAAATTTGATATAAAAAAGTACAAGCCTGGCGAAAAGCTAA